ATTCACAAGATTTCAAATAAATAGACCTGTTAGTCTCTCCAAGCATATCAGAGAAAAACAACAACAACAACAAGCCAAAAACAAGACAAAAATGTTATGGCACCTTAAAGCAGGTAGTGTGCTATTGTAAGCCCACCATCAGTTCCTGTGCTGCCTCCCTCAATATGCTTCTATCCCACACTACTGACATTGCCTTTCTCCTGATCTGGATTTTGACGCTGGTGTGAATTTAAGTGGAAAGAATCATGTTGTAACAGCTTTAAACTTGGCAACTTGCGATTTCACAGATAGCCCTTGTGTTGGGGTTAGGATGTTAAATGAAGAATGGGTAGAGCACTACGTCACCTTGAGATAGTCAATCTTTCTTAGAGTGCTTCCCAGCTATTTTAAAAATTGAATTGGTCTGTATTATTTACAGAATTTCTCATCATCTGCCCCTCTTGTGTTTTCCCAATATTTCTTCCAGTGAACTTCCTTATCCATAAAAAATCTATTGAGGAAGAAAAGATGGAATAACTGCATAATATCTTTTGACAGGGACTCACAAGGACTCCTCTTTCTGAAAAATCTGAAATCTAACCAGCTTCACAAGGTTGTCGTGAGAATTTGTGTATGTGTGAGTGCATGCATATGTCAAAAAAGGGATCAGATATAGTTTCCTGAGCTCCTTGAGGGAACAGTAAAATAAAAATGAAGGGGAAAAAAGCACATGTAATCAGGGAGGTGAGAAGCAAAAAGTGTCTTGTGTCAGTGTTAACATTAACAAATTTATTGTGATGGAACCCATTTTCTTTTTTATTTGCTGAAATGGACAAATAGAGTCGTCCCCTGGCCCACAACCCAAAGCCATCAATTTCACCTACAGCAAATGTTTGCCTTGGTTGGTGTGAATCACTGGAGGTCTTCAGTCAGAGGGAGTCCCCCCCAACAGGATTACCCACAGCGAGGAGGGCATGAGGTTGAACTTTTAAAAGGCTCCACAGCATTACACAACAGCTATAGAACTGAATTAACACAGGGCTCCCTTCTGACATATGGATTCACACACATAGGCACAGGTATAGTCCATGAGAATAATCTGAAATCAGAGTTGGATAATACCAATACCAGACCACTGTGGAAGAGAAGAGCTGGCTCGATAGTTTAGTAATCAGGTTGGGAGTTCCATTCCCCACTGTGCCACCTGTGAGTACTGTACAGCCAGCCAGCCTGGCCTTCAGCAAACTGCACAGTCCCAGGGTGCCCACAAAAGAAGGGAATAGTAAACCTCTTCTGAGTATTCTCTACCTGGAAAGGGTTGCCATAAGTCAGAACTTACTTACTTGACAGCAGGTGATTATTTACGAGGGGGTGCTGATAAGTATTGAGCCTTACCCAGAAAAAAATTGAGCTAGGGAGCTATAAATTGCACGGTGTATTGGCCAATTTGTTTGTATTCAGTGGTGCAAAAATCAACTACAGTACCTATGATTTTAACTTTTTTTCCATGTTCTGGTCCAAAGTGAACATGGCAGCACCTCCAGAAAAGTTCAGTGTGGAAGA